TGACGCAAAGCAGCAGGCGTCAACACATCCGCAGCGACATATGCTGGACTGGAAGTTGTATTCCACTTGGTTTGATTGATGTGCGCCAACCATTAATGTATTTTATTTGTTCATTTTTTTTTTTTAATAATCGATTCTTGCCTTCAAGAATCGATTCAGTAGATCACAAAAATTAGAATCACGATGCATCGATTTGACGATTATTTTGCACACCCTTAATAACGACCCCCCTTTTCATTGGCATAGGCCAGTATTGGATATTGCATGCTAACAAAGACCTCAACAGCTCTCCATTACTCAGGGGTGAGCCTGTTCCTCTGGTTTAATTTGCATGTTTTCTAAGCCATAACAAGGATTTGTTTTGGGCTACTCTATAAAGCCTCAAACTCAATGCTATTTCTGACATTTTGAATTGAAAAAGCTTCCTGGGTGGGAAGTGATACGTCTTTACACTCGGGAAAACAAAGTCTAGTCGATTGTTTTTTAACTTTTTGGATTCACAGTCACATGACCAAACACTACGTGACTGATCCCTCTTCTTGTCCTCCTGAAATGAAAACAAAAACTACAAGTTAATAACTATTGGTGGCTGATATACAAGCCAGTTTAAATATCGGACTGATACAAATGTGCCTAAAAATGTTCTCCTCCATCAAGATGATCTTTCCATTAACTAAAAGCTATATCTCTTTCTTACAATATGCTTAAAGAAATATTAGTACATCATTACACTTCAGCGATTTATTTTGCCAGCTTTTATTAAACACTAAACAAACAACATATTTTCTTGCACTTTAATAAACACATTTAGAATATCTAACAAATCATAAACCTATTGGGTTACTAAATAAAAAAAATATGAATGGAACATGTGAAACACTTATAATTTCTAATATAAAGAGATGTAAAGCTATAATTGGCAGACGGGGTATATCACTCTGACATACTGTCAAGATTATGTACAACTTTGTTTCAGGAAACTGTGATGTAGCTCTCTGTTTTTAGTGTAAGCCAACAACTGGTGCTGAGAGAGACTTAATGCTGCTAGCAGTGCCTTTAAAACATGTGATTACCTAAGGAGTCTATGTAGTGGTTATATTTACATCATTGTCTCCATTAAAGAGAGTCAATAATCCCAGGCCAAAGTCTGGATCCATTCATGTTTCTGCTCTAGCATGCTTTACTTCTCATACAAATACCAATGAGGCTCTGCCTAAGATTGAACAGCACCACCCTATACTTATACTTGTATACTAGACGGCGTTATCCATCTTTCAACAGAGATAAAGTCAGCGCACTAAGGGAACCGCCTCATGTTAGGGCCCCTAGCAGCCATAAGAACCCTCAAACGGCGGCGTTCTGCGGCACGCATGGCCTCGGTAAATCATTCTTACTGCCATACCTCCCCTGTAATTAACTGTTTGTACTGAAACTGGAATCATGATTACAATGCAAATTGTAGTTGACAATAAAGAATTTGATTGATTGTTAATACCGCAACACTGAAGGAATGTCTTTCAAAGCAGACGTTATTAGTTAATCGGATTGAACTGGAGCTAATTTTGATCTAATAAACCATTGACAATTAATCCCAAATTGATTATTTAACATCTCTAATCCATATTTTTTAAATTTTATTACTGATATCTGTCGTGACCAAAAAATTTTTTATATTTCATAATTTCTGTTATTATATGATGATATAAACATAGAAAAAAAAAGTAACTTAAAGATTACCAAGAATGTCCACAATAAATGCCTGTACAAACCTGTGAAAATTATTCTAGAAATATGAATAAAAAAACTGCACAGGGCTCAGATTGTCATTCCGTAACATGCTGTAATAAAAAACTGTAACGTATATTGAAATATCAGAAATGCTATTGAATAAAATTATATTGTGAAATATACAGATAACGATTCATTGTCCGCTTCATATATCATTATTCATCTTAAACAGAAAATGGTAAGGGATTATTTTTAGGGACGCATGATATTGCAATATTTGCTGATATTAGAGATCCAGATATTTTGCAACTCCTCTGGCCAATAACCTGTATACAAACTCCAGCATCCGTCCTGTACCTGACTCTTGCATAACAGCTTAAAGAAGGTGGCGTTCAACCTTGACACAGGCTCAGCACCCACTTTAGAAAGAGAACAGTTTGCTTGAATTTAATATATGTTGTAGTATGTCAATCCAAACAAAGTTGACTTTATTTGTACAATGAGATTTTATTTTTCTTTTATGTATTTAGCGTTTTTGTTTTCTGATTTAGTTTTATTTCTTATCCCACTGTGTGTTTTGATGGAAATTATTCTGTTTCTTCCAAAGGATCCGGCAGGAATCTTTGAGCTGGTCGAGGTCGTCGGCAATGGGACATATGGGCAAGTGTACAAGGTAAGTCAGAATGCTTATATACACGCATAGATCTATATCTTTCAAGTAAATAAAAAATAAGAAAAATAAAGTATTTTTGGAGGCAGCATTAATCATACTATTATCTGCTATATTGATAAATGTAACTGAACAATGTTTAAATACTTGAATTTCCCATTTGGTAGGACCTCGCATAACAATCTATGACCTTTTGTTTTCCTGGAGTAGAAATGTATCATTACACAGAGAGCCATTTTGTTTTTCAGCTGATGATCACTAGGTGAGATGAGGACCTGTAATCATCTTTCCCCTGTCAACAGTAAACAAAATGATCATGATAGAAGTAACTACCTAAAAGACGGCCATTTTGGGATCATCAAGACTCCATTAGAGCTAATTGACATTATTTACATGTCAGCCAGTGGTTTTGGAGGCATGTCTGAAAAATGCTTTACCACAAAAAAACAACTACAGTGCTTGGACTTTAACTGCAGCTTTGTGCTTAGGAGGAAGAATTGTATGCAAAAAAAACCTGGCTTGGTGCAAATTCTGTGGGGAATTCGCTTCATAGCTGTGATTAAGTATGGTGGAGGATCTGTGATCCTGTGGGCCTGGTTCCCTTTTGAGTTATTGAATACTGCTTTAAACTTCCTTTTAACTCATAAGTTGCAAAAAGCTGGATTTAATAAAAATTTGCAAACAAAAGTGATTGTTATGGAGGGAATTATGTTCCACTAGTGATGCAAAGAACACATTTTGTAAATACTAATAAAAAAAAATGCAATCAACTTTAAAACAACCAAAACCATTTTTTTAAGTACCTTTACAGCAGGCATCCCCAAAGTCGATCCTTGAGGGCAACTGTCCTGCAGGTTTGGAGGTTTCCCTACTTTAGCACAGCTGATTATAATGATTGCAGTTGAGCAAAAGCCTGTTAATCAGCTTTCAATTAAAACCAGCTGGGCTGGAGCAAGGAAACATTTGAAACCTGCAGGACAGCGGCCCTCGAGGACAGACTTTGGGGATGCCTGCTTTACAGTCTTCTCAGATTCTACTGATTAATTTTTTACTCAATAGTTTTTTTCATATTTTACCTTATTTTTTTATTTTTATTTCTTTTTTCAGATAGTTTTACAAACTGCATTTTCAGACTTCACATTTTCTTCACTTCAAACTCAATACAAACGCTCTTGACCAATAGAAATGTTTCTTTTCTCTTCCTTATTCAGAGGAAGGTCCGCCCTCAGAAATGAAGATAACTTGACCTGGAAAATGCAATTAGAAAAAAATGTCATTCGGAAGAATCAATATGAAAGTGAAATCCGAAAAATTACATTTGGAAAAAATAGAATATGAAAAACAGAAAAACAAATTACTTGAAAAATGAAATTTGAGAAAATTGCAAATTTACACGTACAAACTGTTTTTATTTTTTTTGTTTTTTTCTTTATTCCTGGATTACAATTTTTTCCTAGTCTCATTTACAAAACATGCTCTTTGCTCGTACAATAATGGAACAAAATTCACTCAATAAATCATTGGGTTTTTCAGCAGGATGACAATCGAACACATTCGGTTCTTCCTTCCAATAAAGCAGGCCTCCTTAACTGCAGTCCTCGAGGTCCGGTGTCCTGCACCTTTTTAGACGCGTCTCTGATTTAACACCTCTGAGGAAAATAATCAGGTCATCAGCAGGACTCTGGAGAACTTGACTACCATCAGAGAAGGTGATTCAGTCATTTGATTGAGGTGTTGGACCAGGGACACATTTAAAAGGTTCAAGTCACCTGGAGGACTGGACTTGAATACCTCTCATCTAGAGAAAGGTTCAGATGTTCCTCTCTTTGCTTGCTCCACCCTGCTACAATGTTTCTGAAGACTAACTGCTCTTCTATTTACCAGAGGATTTATTGTGGCAGAAATTTTTTTTTTCCCACTAAATGGATGTTGTGTTGCTGTTGAAGCATTTTTACAGGAGTACTAGAAGCTTTTCTACAGGAGTGCATTTTTCTTGAATAGCTGTAAAAAGCTGTCTTTTTTTGTTTTGTTTTTTTATATATATTTTGCAGATTAACTTGTGCATCAGGATTTAAGTTAGCTTGGTTCTGAAGATGAGAGACTCTGAATTTACAGACAAGAGTAAAACAATGACTTGAAATAGCAGTTAGCTGCTCCTGATTGTTCCACATTATGTTAATCTAAGACTGCTGAGCTGTTCTGATTTGTTCTTTTATCAGGGCCGTCACGTGAAGACGGGTCAGCTGGCCGCCATCAAAGTGATGGACGTTACAGAGGAGGAAGAGGAAGAGATCAAAGCTGAGATCAACATGCTGAAAAAGTACAGCCACCACCGCAACATAGCCACGTACTACGGCGCCTTCGTTAAGAAGAGCCCACCAGGACAGGACGATCAACTTTGGGTAAGTCCACATTGATTCCTACCCGGTCTGATGACTCAGTCACCAATAGTGCTTTTCACTGAGCACGTTTTTCTTTTGCACAGCTGGTGATGGAGTTCTGCGGAGCAGGATCTGTGACCGACTTGGTGAAAAACACTAAAGGCAGCTCTCTGAAGGAAGACTGGATTGCGTACATCTGCAGAGAGATCCTGAGGGTGGGAAGCTGTAGTTTTTCTACTTAGATCCATTCTGATGTAGCCATTTCTGCTCACTGACCACCGTGGTTGATATCTTGGTCTGTAAATAGGGTCTCTCTCACCTCCACGCCCACAAAGTCATCCACAGAGACATCAAGGGCCAGAACGTCCTGCTAACGGAGAACGCTGAGGTCAAGCTAGGTATGTTTTGCTTTAATTGGTCTGTTTATGATGATCTCACACCTTCACAAGTCTCCACCTTCTGAATGCAGTTGATTTCGGGGTGAGCGCTCAGCTGGACAGGACTGTTGGACGTAGGAACACCTTCATCGGGACTCCTTACTGGATGGCACCCGAGGTCATCGCCTGCGACGAGAATCCTGACTCCACCTACGACTACAGGGTGACTGCAGCAGCTCTTCCTTTATTTGCTCGCTCTCTGCGTTGTGAGAATAAAACAATAACGCTGTACTGCCTCTTTTTCTTACAGAGTGATATTTGGTCTTTGGGGATCACAGCCATTGAGATGGCAGAGGGAGCTCCTCGTAAGTTTTTGATCTAATTTCTGATTTCTATCTTGCATTAGATAATTATCCTAATATCAAAGCCAGTTTGAAAGACCTCATGAATGAGTGCGTCTTGTGTTTGTGGCCCAGTTGTCTGTGTCTTCAGATGGACAGATGATTCACTCTCATTAAGGTAGTGGAGCTGTGAGCTGTCAGTTGGTCTGTGGAGGCTCATGGCACAGATCTCAGCTTGGGATTTGGTGCAGAACCAAAGACTGAGTGAATATCTGGGAAGTAGGGTGGACGAGCTTGGCAAAGGTTGGGGCTTGTCTCTGGTAGCAGAGAGCTGCGTTACATTAGTCTGGTGATTGCTTGTTTTGTATTTAATTTTTTTTTCAGTATCTTGCAACTCTGATTTGAGTTTTGAAGTGGAAGAAGTAATCTGAAAAGCAAAGCAAACGATCTTAAAGGGAGACTGCTGTGGAAATCTGAGCCTGTCTGTGCCCGTTCTGGGAGTGGAATGTGTCGAGGTGATAGGAGGTTCTGATGTTGTGATAAACTTAAGCAAGAGTTCTGTTGTTTCACTTTAAGGTTCTGAAAAAGGTATTTAAAATGCTCACATTATTGAAGTCGTAGTGAAGTTGTATTTAAATTTCAAATCTTTCTGGCTTAAATATGTATATAAATGTACTCTTTAACAGACGATATTGTCCCAAAAGTTAGATAATTTGTATTTAAAGAAAATCCTGTCTTAAAATCTGTTATTTTATGCAGGCCAGGTAGTTATAAGTCAGCTTCAATCATATATCAAGGGTCTTGATTTATATGTCGCAGCTAATATACACAACGGTTGAAATAAGAAATAAGAATCATTTCCTTTCCCATTGAGTTCCGTCCCAGTGTTCACAGGGATGGACGTCTGTGTCTTCAGCAGGCGTAGAGCTAACAGAACTGGCAGTGTTGCGAGGCAAGGGCTCAAACATGTACGGCTGTAAGCCCTCTTCACCAAAGCAAGCCTCTGTCGCCCTGGCGTCCTCTTTCACAACATCTTCGTCCCTTCTTTCCTCCTCTAAATAAAAAAATGTTTCACGGAGGAGACTCGTCCACGACCTCTGACACAAAACTCTTCTCCTCTTGCATGTTTCTGCTGTCCATGGCGTTCCTTGACAGTGTCGTTGCTAAGTGCTACTTGGTCCCAATGTAATTTCCCATTAGGAACCTAGTAGCACTAAGTTGCTAACTGGTTAGCAAGATGCTTCAGAGACACAGGCAAAACCAAACTTGCCTGTGAACCTTCCACTACAACAATCCCGCCCCCTTGATAAACAACCAATCACATTCACTTTATTTACTCGTGTAAAGTTGGGCACCACACGGGAGAATTGGGAAATAAAACGGTTGGAATGGCCGTTTCTCTTTGACTTTAAAAATGAAGATTAGCTTTATTATTCAGAACAGATGGAACTGAAAAACAGTTTAATACTAATTCCTTATGTTACGTGTTTTATGAAGGCGCCCAGCAAAAAGCAGTTTCTTTTCATCTTTTCTAGATGAAGTTAGTATTAAGACAGGAACAACAGGTATTATTAAGAGGTTGCAATGTTTTGAATTTGACTGACGTGATTACCAGGCGACTGGAGCTGGGCATATCCTACTGTCAGCTGGCCTGCTTTCGGTTATACTGCACTCATGACATTTTGAAGATTAACCTGCATTCATCTTACCTCCTTTTCAGAAGTTGTTTAATTCTGTGTTTCAGTTATTCTCAGATACAAAGCTCCATCCATGCTGCTGTTGGTCTTTCACAGCTTTGTAATTCAAGCTGAAGGAAAACTTCTCCAACATGTTACATTAAATGTTTTGGGATCAAGTCGTTTCTATGAATATTGGCCTTTTAATTGAAACCAAAGGCAGTGGCATGCAAATGGGCTTCATAAGGCCCTTTTGCTAAAAGAAGCATGCCTAAGTGCCCTCTAAAGACAAACTATAGCCCCATTTACACTACCCTTTTGAAACCATGCCGAGATCGGTAATAACTGTTGAGTGTAAATGGTACACACATCTGAAGCAGACCATGCCAGACGCAGCCAAATTGCGCTAACATGGTACTAGTTTATCAGTAGGGCTTTATCAGTTCTGGCTCAGTTCTCAGATAATACAAAGCACATTAACAGACTCCTTACAGTCAGCTTCCGTAATCAGGACATTTCCGACATTCATAAAAATACTAGCTTCCCTACCGTGCCACATGATTTCCACTGATGATTCTGCTTAGCAATGTGATTAACCTCAACATCAGTCGTTGTTTCCTGCATCTGTAAGCCCTGATTAGACTATCATTTGTCGCCTCAACTTCCCTAAAGCCGAGTCTTTCAAGTAAATTTACCAAAGGCTGCCTTCTTAGCCTGACTCTCCGCAAACTTCCTGAATTTTAGGGGCGCTGCCATGTTTGTTTGCCTGTTTACCTCTAGAAAGCAGTAGTACAGTAGATTTTCACTAGGAGGTGAGCAACCCTGCTAGCATGGTGTGTAAATGGTTGTAAGGAACCGAGCTCGGCACGGATCGCCTTTCATAGGGTAGTGTAAATTTTGTGTTGCCTTGCAGCAAGAAGGTCCTGTTTTTTAACCTAAAGCTGGGGTCTTCCTGTACGGAGTTACATGTCTTTTTTTATCTTGTGCATACATAGGATCTCTCGGATACTCTGACTTCCTCTCACAGTCAATAATGATGACTGTCAGGTTCATTGGTGACTCGGCAAAATCCAGGTCTGCAATGTTGAGTTGAAAAGACAACAGGAAAGTGGAGAAAAACTCTTCCTATCTGATGACGAGGCGAAGCGAGTGGAGAGTCGTCAGGTGGAGCCATGCGAAAGAAAATTAGTTGAACAACAGCATGCAAAAGAGCCCCAAAATGAACTGGAACCAGCTGCGATTGTTATAGAAAGGTGTTGCCCTGCGATGGACTGGTGACCTGTCCAGGGCCCTCCTGCTGGGTTGTTGGCATCCTTCAGCCTCCTCCACATCTCCTGGTGTAATGGCCCGTTTACTAGTAGCATATCCAGTCTCTGGACACTATGCTGACAGACACAGCTAACCTTTTTGCCACAGCCCGCATTGATGAGCCATCATCAATGGTGCCGCCACGAGTATGAAAGCACCACCCACATTCAAAAGTGACCAAAACATCAGCTAGAAAGCAAAGGAAGTGAGAAGTGGTCTGTGGTCCCCCACTCCTTTATTGAATATGTTTTGCTAATTGCCAGTTATGTCTACCTGTTTATTTAATTTGTACAACAGCATATTACTTCTTAAGTGGACAGTGTGATTTCACTGAGGTTTTAAGTGATTGAAGTTATATTGTGTTGTGTGTTCCCTTTACAGTTTTAGAGCTGTGTAGGGAGCAGTGATGGAGACCTGCTTTAACCTACTAATGTGGATTCTTTTAGCCATTTCAACTTCCAAAAGCAGTTGGTGACTTTAATTTGGGTTACAATGTGGATGTATTCCACTTTAGGGCTGGGTGATTAAATCAATATTGTCAATTAATCAGATGTAGTGTTGTCACTACTATCATCTCCTTAGGCCTCCATAGGTCAGAGTAACATCAATTCATCACCTTTTGTTCTTTATCTCCCAATAACTCTGAAACTAGCTCGCTTTGTAACACTGCTAGCTGCAAATATGTAGTGTTTTTATTGTTTGTTGGGAACATGATTGTTTTACAATTATTTTATATTAAAGTCACCTAACAGTGGGGGTGATTTAAAGAAAACCCTTTTTTCCAAGTGTGTAATTTGTCATTGTTTTTTTCATGAAACTAATGGGAGAAAATAAATGATGAATTTTAGTTTAGTTGGGGGGAAAAAATCAGAGATTAAACTGTATCACCCAGCCTTAAGCCACGTTTTCTTTATATTGTCCTCTGTAAATAAAATCTGGAAACCATTCCTGATTTTCTTTCAACTTCAAATGATAAACTTTTTGTGACATCAAAGCTTTGCAAACAGCTCACGGTGAAATGTAGGCATACTAGTTGGGTTTCATAATATTTGGTTCTTGAGAACTGTGTTTACTGTATTGGACACCAACCCTCTTTTTACCAGGGTTGTCATTAAGGTTAAGGTAATGGTTTCAGTTTTAAGCTTTTAAATTGCCTGCTGATTTCTTTTTTAGGGGGGTTTCATATGACTAATTGCACAGTTTCCTCACCTTCATGGTCTACTATTAAATGCCTTCAGCGTTGAACTCTGACCTTGGATCCTTTCCATTAGCAGGATTTTGTTGGAAGCATCTCGCATTTATGTTTGGGAAAGAAAGCAATGGAGCACCCAGTGAGTTAGCTGTGATGCTTGTGGTTATCGTGGCCCTCACGACAAATCCCGTTGCCTTTGGCTGCGTCAGTCACGTTGCTCGTCTCCAAAAGACTGCATAATAAAAGCCTATTTACCGTGAAACTCTGAAGCTAACCAGTCAGGTTTAGCTGCCTACCTACACTAGGAGCATGGTGACTCACAGTCCTTGCTCTTACATTCGGAGCAGCGATAAGCCTGAGGCACAGGGAGAGATTGAGTAACAGCTCTAACCTTGTTTCAGGATTTAAAAAAGCACCTATAACATTGTTTAAGATGATTTGCAAACTACATGCAGGGTGTGTAGCTCAACATGAAAATGTATTCAGTTTGGTGTTTTTGTTCCTGCTTTATTTTATCCTTAGCTCTCAGCATGGTTATGGGGATTTAACTCTGATAATCTTCTTTATTTCTGTAGCATTGTGTGACATGCACCCAATGAGGGCCCTCTTTCTGATTCCAAGGAACCCTCCTCCGAAACTGAAGTCCAAGAAATGGTGAGTGTAAAAGGCTCTCTTATCCAGACCCTTTTGTTTTCCTTAAAATGCTGCATTGATAAAGTGGAGCGATGCATTTACAAGCAGTAAGTCATAAAATCAGACAATTTGGTTTCAGATTTCTTTACCGTGGGCCTTTGTTGTTTATCTTTTTCTGTCCCATTTTAACTGAAAAAAAAAAAAAAGAGCTGTAATGTTTGGAAAGCAGAGAAAGGGCTTATTGCATTACCATCTAAAAGGCAGCTCTTGAGTTGTTATAGTTTAGCAGCACAACAACAAGCTGGCAGAGTAGAGCACTAAATGGAAACGATGGGGAGATGAACAGCTGCATCATTTGCTGAATGTCTTTGGAGACAAATGAGATATTTAAAAGAGATTTGTCTCATTATCTAATCCTGTGATTGAGCTCCTGCTTCTCTGGACTACTCGGGTATGCAGGAAGTAAACTACCTTGCTAAACTTCCAAGTTTCCTGTTCTGCAGCCCCAAGTTCTGATTACAGAAAAGATTCAGTTATGGTGACTATTGGGTTATGAATTGTTTTGGAAATAGGTATCGTTAAGGATTTATCAATACTATATACATTTTTTTTTTTTGGAACAAAAGCATACTAAATATTTTGAAAACAATAAAAAATAACTAAAGTTCTTTCAAAAAAGTGCTTTCGAACAAAACACTGAACAGCAGGTGATAAAATTGTAAAAGAAAAGATAAAATAATTTGACATAAAAACTTAAATCAACAATAAAACAACAATATAAAGACATAAGTTTAGGCGTCGAGTTTGGCTGCATAAGTCAAGGTGCTCAAGTGGCTCTTTAGCTTGGCTATAAAAAAGAGAGCGATTGTTTCACACAGGTGAGGGCTTGAGGGAAAAAGCACGCTCTCCTAGAGATTTGTTTTTGCCTTAAGTACTTTAAGAAGACCAGTGGCTTTGGATCAAAGAACGTTGGGCGGAAAGCAGGGGTGCAAATGGTCGGATAGATGATGTCTCATAGGCGACCAGCAAAACATTAAAATCAGCTGCAGTGGAGGGTTGACGGTAATGGAGCCATACGCCTGCATTTACTAGTTTTGGCGAAGTTGCGAGCATTTACTTTTTTTTTTTGGGGGATAAAATAACCCTCTCATCTTAGAAAAAATGTCAGCGTTAAATTACTACATCCTCCTTATAAGGCCTCATTTCCTGTTATTTGAAGTGTTGCTGCGAAACCTTTAAAATTACTAATTTGGTTTAAATGTCATAAAAAGGCTGATTAGGGTTCATTTCATATTTCTCTTTAAATTATTCTCGCAAAACAATAAGGATTTCACTTTTAAATATGTAATAATTGTTTTTATTAGCTTGCAAATTTTTTAGATGGGTTATAAATCAGGTTTACCTCCCTCAGCTCCCCTTGTCATGAAAAGGTGTTTCTCCCCTGACCTTAACCTTCCTCCCAGGTCGAAGAAATTTATGGAGTTTATAGAGGGTTGCCTCGTCAAGACCTATCACAGCCGGCAAAGCACAGAGCAGCTGCTCAAGCATTCGTTTATCAGGGACCAGCCCACTGAACGGCAGGTCCGAATTCAGCTCAAAGATCACATTGACCGCACGCGCAAAAAGAGGGGAGAGAAAGGTAAAGAGATGAGACCCAAAGACCTGCAATGTGCTGCAATTTTTTGTTTTTGGAGTGATTAAATAATTTTTTCCTCTTCCTACAGAAGAGACGGAGTACGAGTACAGCGGTAGTGATGAGGAGGATGAGAATCGCGGCGATGACAGAGAATCGAGGTAATGATTTGATCCATTCTTTTTAGTGGCCGTTAAAACACGAGTGGTTTTGTCAAGTCTTTGAAAGGCCTTTCATGCACGATCCTAACTTTAATCATCAGTTCCATCCTTAACGTGCCTGGTGAGTCCACGCTGAGGCGGGACTTCCAGCGGCTGCAGCAGGAGAACAAGGAGCGCACGGAGGCTCTCAAGAGGCAGCAAGCCCAACTGGCGGCTCAGCGCCGAGATCCTGAGGAACACAAGAGGCAGCTGTTACACGACCGACAGAAACGCATTGAGGAGCAGAAGGAACAACGGCGGCGCCTTGAAGAGGTAATGGTCAACTTCTCATCCGAGTGAATTCTCACTGAAGCATTTGTTCTGTTTTCAGATTATTTGTTGGGTTTATTTATTTATTGTCTATTTAAAATAGACAAACTAGACATGTCAACATAATGGTCACCTGTTGTACATTTCAATTTTTCATCATATTAGCTTAATTTAAAGGTCAAATACTCCTAATATTAACACAATATTTGCTTTTATTAGGATCCCCAACAATTTGGGAACATACTCCCCCAATTAGAAGATAAGTAATTAAATTTTATGTTATAGCCAACACCTCTGACAGCCTGATAAACCCCATCCCAGGGTAGCGTGAGGACCACATCCCCCCCAGTACACAGATCAGAACAACCAGTCTGTTTACATGCTCCTCATTTGGGGTTTAAAAAAAATAGCTGATACATTCTTTCCTAGGAGAAATATCTCCACATTTCTGTATTAGTAGTGTAATGCACCTCATTTGTCGTCTCCCACTCCTTGGATGTAATGTTAATCCCCAGCTCCCTCTCCTGTTTCCTCTTAACATAATAGAGTTTTGTTTCATTCAATTCCATTCAAGTTCTCAATTTATTTTCCAATGTTTTTTTTTTTCCCATTACAAAAATTTAAAGTAATTTGTTGAACTTTATAGTAGTGGTGTCTGATCATGACGAACTGGTGTCCTGCAGCTTTTAGGTGTGTCCCTTTTCCACCTGAATTAACAGCTAGGCTACCTCACTAGCATGCATTTAGCTTCTGCTGAAATCTGGTAATGAGGTCTTATTTGATTTGAGGATGCGAGATTGAGACCAATGCTCTTTTGGAAAATAAGTCTTCTTTTTGTGATTTCACATCCTATATCAGAAATAAATCATGTAAGCTCTTTAGATAATGGTTCCCATCTGACGTGTGACAGTATCAAGAGTGGTGTTCTCATGAAAGATCAATAGTTTTTGTGTCGTTGGGTTCAAAGGTGAAGAAACAAAGCTGATGAAATAGTAAAGAGAAGTTTCCATTTGATACCGAAAATCAGAAGTAGTGTATGTGAGTAAACTTTGTAATTGAGCATCATCAACCAGACGCCATATAATGAAGCTCTGATTTCCTCTTTTCACTTTACCAGCAGCAGGGATGTTTTCAAAGGTTTCAAAGAAATTATGTAGCTTTAAAATTGTAAAAGCTGCATCTATTTAAACAATGTCAAGTAGAACCGAAACCTCTCATTAATATAGCTTACATTTCTTACGTTCTTGTGAAAACAGTCATGTTATGTTGAAGAAAAATTTCCTTTGATAGTATAAATTAAAACAGAAAATTCATCCACAGTTTGCAGTGGTTAGGGGGACCAGATGACACCATTTGTGCCACATTTTTCACCTCTGTCTCACTATCACACAAGTCCAAACAATGTCCTACTTTGAACTGGTTCAAATCAGAAAAAAAAACTATTAAAAGAAAACCAGACACTTTTTCCGAGATGCAAAAAAAACAAAACAGAACTGCAGTCATTGTCAGGAGGAGGAATTTACCATAAAAAATACGATGGAAACTATGATAAAAGGGTAGAAAACGCAGGAACAAAGACTGGAAGGTTTAATAACTGGCTCAGGCAGTGAAAGGTGATTCTCAGAGCTTTTTTTGAGGTTTCCTAAAGTTCTTTAAATTTGATATGAGGGTGGTACAATGTAAAATAACACTGGAAATGAGTCACAAAAGAAATGCGTCGTCTTTCCCTCATTGTCCATCATGAGCATCTTACTTTTCCCACATTTGTCTTTTTGAGATCTGATCACAGAAGAGGTGCTGAATAAAAGTATTGAGTTCAATAAAAAAAAATAGATGCTCTATATTTTAAAAGGTCCAAAATGTCTAAATGTTTACCTCTGGTTACCATGCCAATGTCAACATGAAAGGAATCAAAACGAATAGGAATAGTAGATTAAAATAATTTGGGACAAGCTCAGATAATAGTAGATCCTTGGTAGATCGAATCAGAGTTTTACATTTCTCAGATTTAAGGTAAAAAAAAAACTATAAAGGAAGCAAACAAGGGTGAAGATGGATCTGGTTTTGGAGAGTTGGTACCAAGTTATGTAAGCAAAGGGGCTCAGAAGCATTGCAGAGGTTGGTGGACAGGTAGAGGCCCCCCACATACGAAATGCACAGAATGTGTTCAGATATGTAGGGGTTAATATAGAACTATAGTAGGTGAGCATGAGGACACCACATACCAGCTGGGAGAAGTTAAACTACCTTTACATTTACAATCATTTTATTTTAACAGTACCTGAAGACCATATTCTCATAATATGCTGATATAAAGATAGCTGGTATTGGTTTTCTAAGTAATATTTGATTATATGCACTAAATTTAATGATGGGATTGAAATGTGTTCAGTAAAAAAAAATTAAAGTAATCAATTGCACCGTTTATATAGACACAATCGGAATAAAATGGCTGATGAGACTAAAAATGTGTCATGTAGCCATCATAAACAGCCAATCAGAAAACAGCTAGCTAGAGCGATTAGAGGATTTACACCCTGATCAGCTTCCCTTATTCAGAATAAATTAAACTTATCTATCGTTTAAATGCAGGCCAATCAGATCTTCAGTCGAGATAGACCTGCCCACTCATTCGGATCACTATTTCATTTCAATCAGAATATTCCAACATGTTTACATGAAGCATTTATTCCGGTCTGCCGTTTATTTTGATTGCTTATCTCCGTGTATCTGTTTACTTATCCTGCATTTTAAAATTTTCCACTGATGCCAAAAGCTTTCATCTTTACTCCCTCTCTGTTTAAGATACATCATATAAAGTGTCTGTGGAACACTGCAAAGCCGAAGCTTGGGGAATAATAAAAATGAATAAAAGCTTGAACCATCCATGCTTTTATTTCATATGATGGAAAAGGCTTGATTAAGTGAGATCTCTCAAATGGAGAACAATAGTTGACAACATCCGGTATGAAAATTACTGACCCATTTATTAACCAAAGAGTTACAATAAAAACAGAAGCATACTGTTTCTGTGCCGATGCAGATTTATTTGGATATTCATTTTTTCACTGATATCGGACCGATTTCCGATATCTTGTCGGTACCTCCCTAAATACGTCTTTCTTCTGGGATTTAATGACAGAAATAAAGCCTTTAGATGATATTGTAATAAAATGAGATGGATCTGTGAAGTTATACCGGAGGCTACGGTCCATACGGACCAGAACCTCCCGCCATAAAAACAGCTTCTTCCCCTCTGCCGTAAGACTCATGAACACATAACTATATGTCAGACTCCATAACCTGCCCATGCCATTTACACTGCTGTATTGCACACTGCTCTATTTGCACTACCTTGTACATTTTACTTTTTATATTTTTTTTATCCATATTTTTATCCTAAGTGTATATATTAGTCTATTTTTTGTATGCCTTATACCCCAGTGTTTTTAGAGATTTTTATAATTGTATTTACCTGTTTCATGTTGCACGATTGTACCATAAAAAATTCCTAGTTTGTGAACTCCTTCACTAACAATTGCAATAAACCCGATTCTGATTCTGATAAACAGCTGCGCAGGTCAAAGATCCTTACTGCACCACAAAGAATTCATGGTTTTGTTTTAATCAACAAAATGAAACCCATTTAAAATAAGACACTGTCAGTTTAAGCTTCAGTTGGAGCAGTACACTCCAACACTGATTATAATGCTTGTTTGTAAAGGTGAATCATACCTTTTATTCCTTTTTTTTCTCCAGCTCTTTACAGTAGATCTTTTTGCCTTTTTAAATTTTTTTTATAACAATCTAATTCCTCTGTGCATGCATAACTCCTCTGCTCATTTCTCTCTTTCCTGTCACCTCTCTCTCCAAGCAACAGAGAAAAGAGCGAGAGATGGTGAGGCAGCAAGAAAAAGGTCCCCATCGGAGACTGGACGACATGAGACGGGAGGAGGACAGAAGGATGGCAGAGAGGGAGCAGGTAACCAACCACTGCAAAGGCAGAGCGGCCTTCGGCCAATCAGGGGAGAGGTGGGCGTGTCTGCAGTGCTGGTGGTGAAATTCCATGAGAGGGTTGCCATAGCAGCAAGGATCTAAATTAGTGTATTTACTCAGATGAGTTTTCTGTGGGTGAGCTCGATGCTTCTCTCAGTTTCCAGTCTATCCTCGGCGGCATCAGAGTCTGGCATCAGACCAGCACCATCTTTCTGTGCTACACACCGTCCTCCTAAATATCTGAATGATTTAATGCTTTGAAATGTACCACTGTGTATTACTCACAATGTCATATTTGATATAGTCTGTGCATCTTAATTACCTTTTTATTCACCAAGTCTCAGCAGCTGCTTTACTCCTAAAATGAAGCAGAATCTTTTCCTTTCTTTTTTTTATGCTTGCTGGAATGATGGAATTACATAACCCTTTATCTGTGTTCATCTTCTACCCTGCTCCCACATCATTTCCTTTCTCTCATGCCGCCACCTTTCCTGTGTGCCTTCTCACCTCGCTGCAGGAGTTTATCAGGCACAAGTTAGAAGAAGAGCAGCGGCAGTTAGAAATCCTTCAGCAGCAGTTGCTTCAGGAGCAGGCGCTGCTTATGGTAACTAGTCCTCACTGATGCTTGATCAGTTCTCACTTTGCACGCACACATTTTATTCTCAACCACCTGGTAATAAATGCTCATTAATGGAAGGGATTTAAGGTATTAAACTGACATGAACTTCCTATGATGCTGTTTTTTTGCCTTTATGTGAAAATAAATTTGGATTTGTGTCTTTAAATTACGCCAAGTTAAAAGCTAAGTAAAGAGCAATAGTTTGATCTCCGTCTAGGTCTTCTAAAACACAAACACAGCCCATCTTAAAAAGGTTTAATGACCTACATTTACTGTGGAGGTTTTGCAGTTTTTCAAGACCTCCTGCTTCATTTACAGGCAATACTTCCCACCCCCCACCCCCTGCCTCTGGCATCTCTGTCTTCAGCTTGTTCCTGTGGAGTGTAGGAGTTGCTGTCATTAAAACTGAAAGATCATTATCCAAAAGCGACTGTATGCATAAAACGGCACAGAATGCTCACAGTTTTACCTACAATTGTAACTCCCCACCCTCTCAACACAGTACGGCATAATTGGCTTGATTTTTATATTTTTAGGTGTTTTTTGCAGTAACGGTATTAAAACAGTATCTTTTTTTCTTTTTTTTTTAGTACCAGTATTACATACAGAGTTGGGGAAGGTACCTAAACATTTTTTAAATTAAGAGTAGCACTATTTTAACATCATTCAAAAACTACCCAACTAAGGGTTAAGTACTAAGTAACTGTTGATTTAATGTTTAAACTTATGTAATCAGAATTGGATTTGTGTGAAAATTTTGGTATTTTAACATGTTAAGTGGCCAAATCAAATTTGCCCAAGACGTATACATAAATGTCCGAAAAGCATGAATTGGATCAGCTGCTGTTCTTTAACCCTTGAGAGGGTCTAGCCTGCTGTTTGAAACAGCAAATTTGGAAGCATCACATATATCCAGTAGACTAGGTTCGAAGATTTAGCATGATTATTGTTAGGAATAAACATTATCATTCATGAAAAGACTTCTTATAACCCATACATAGGTTGTTAAATGTAATAGATGTGCATTCTTCTCCTTTTATTGTAATTTTTCCTATCAAGAGTCAGATTAGTTGAAGCAGAGATGTTTTGTCAGGATAAATATAATAGGTAGGAACATACAGTGCAGCCTATATAGATACAACAGTCTATATAGGCAATAATAATAACAATACATTTAACGTGGGCCAGGTTTGATTAAAAGGCAATATGTCTGTAACTGTGCCATTGAATCACAAGCAATCCACTTAAAGGGAAACGCTGTTTGTTTTTGTTTTTTTTACATTGGGCCCTCGATTTTTTTGTTATTACATCATGTTCTACTCCCCCATATGAGTTTTGTGTAATTTGGAGCTGCTCTGAAGATATTCCGTTAGGTTATATCTAAGTAACATCTTTCTATGAGCAAACGACTTGAAGGCACAAACTAAACTGTTCATAATTTATTCTTTATGGTACGCCAGCATTCATAACATGTAGGCGAATTACTGTCCCCCAGACATCCACGGTTTATTGTTTATATTTATATCTTTTTAAAACAAAGCGGACTGTGTATGATGTCCCTTCAAGAAAAGGACTGACGCCCAATGATGAAACTCCATATCAGATAGAAACCAATGTTCAGACATGTGGTTCACTGACAGCACTGAGGGACAAGAACCCACCAGAACAGGTGCATTGGAATTTTATTAATTCCCCTTTTTAATAAATTGAGTTTCTGGCCCTTTTGGCTTTCCATACTTGTTGCAGTATTAGAAGAAATTTGAATTCAGAATATTATGTTGTGAGCCTTTCTTTAGTAACAGGATCTTCTATTGATTCACTGCTGTTTACCTTTATCCTGATCCTGCAGGTGCATCACTGGACGTGCAGGTTGTGACATTAGTCTCAGGCCAAATTGGAAAGGGTGTAGCTTTTAAACCAAATCAATTAGATCTCTCCTGCTCCCGATCCCTGGATGAACTTAGTTTGCCAGCTCCATATCAGAGCAGAGGGGATAAATGATGGCAGTAACAAAAATACTGAATCGACAATGAGTTTTGTTATTGCTGAGATTCGATTTAGAACATTTTAAATTGGGTGAAAAAAATGATATTAACAAACACGGTTCATGTTATTTTCACAGCTTTGCTCTTGACCGGTCTTGAAATACAATTTTTAATTACTTGGCATCTAAAGCCAAAGTCAAAAAGTGATCCTAAGTACTAGAACACTGTACCTCTTACCAGGTCCATTTATTCCAGTTTTGTTTGTTGTTTTCTCCTTAAGTTTCATAACAAAAAATTATGATTGACATGCATGACTTTCAAAAACTGTTCTTAATCATCCCCTCTTTGAAGTTACCTCAATTTAAAGGGAACATGACTGCTTGTAAAGCAGTCATGTTTAACAACAAATGATGAAATTATAGAACACATTAGATTTTTTTCAGCTAATGCTAACACACAGCGAGCTTCTTATCAGTTATGAATCAACATCTAGAAAGTGATAAACTGATGTTGCTCTGAGCTATGGGAGCTCAAGTAGAGCATAGGTCTGGAAAAAGTCCAGACTTTCCAAAAATAAAGTTAAACAAAAATATGTATTCATCCATTTTATTGATTAGTAGTGTATATCTCACCCCAATCGGTTTCAAAGTATAAACTCACACCTTTTTAATTTATAGGTACTCAGTTATGATGTGGAAAAAATATAGAAAAGTTCAGTTCTTGTTTTTAACATGTTACTTAAATGGTTAGCAGTATTTTCATATTCGCAGGCTTTAGTTGTAGTAAAATTGGAGTTATATTTATATTAGGTGTATGAAACCTCAGGCTGTAAGTCAGTTTGTTAAAAGATCAAGGTTTTATTTATGTTGTAAGAAGTTTGCATTGTTTTGGGCAGGAATACAAGCGAAAGCAGCTAGAGGAACAGCGGCAGTCGGAGAGGCTGCAGCGGCAGCTTCAGCAGGAGCATGCCTACCTGGTGTCTCTGCAGCAGCAACAAGAGAAGAAGCCCCAGCTTTATCACTATAATAAAAACCTTGAGCCCAACAACAAACCTAGCTGGGCCCGTGAGGTTAGAGCGCTTTTTAAAAAATCTATTATTGCAGCGACCTGTAGGAAACTTTCTTTACACTAAGATTGATTGTTTTTTTTTATTCCAGGTTGAGGAGCGGACTAAGCTAAACAGACAGGGGTCACCCAAAATCTGCACCACCGTCTCCGACACTGCCATCCAGTCACGCTCCGACTCCATCAGTCAGTCTGGAATGGTCCAGGCTGCACAGACTCCACCCATGCAAAGGCCAGTTGAACCCCAAGGGGGTCAGGGCAAGGTGTGTGGTTAAAATGTTCAGTTCAGTTAAACCATGTAGAAACAGGGTGCCAATCTTTTCCAGCCTTTAATCCTTGGCTTTGGACTTATCTGCTGCTTCCTTTTTTCCTTCTTTGCTTTCCACCAACCCATCTATACGTTTCTCTTCTCTCTGGCCTACATCTTGGACTATCTCGGGGTTCTGCTCTTCCCTTTGGCTGCTGCTCCTGCCTGTCGCTTGGCTGCTCCTGCCCTTTGCAGTTCCAGATGGCTCACTTGGTCCCGCTGAAGCCTTATGCTGCCCCTGTCCCTCGCTCGCAGTCCCTCTGTGACCAGCCCACTAAGAACATGTCCGCCTTCCCCACTCAGGATCCCTCCCCCACACCCCGCCCCATCCGTTCCAGAGAGCTTGTTCGTCAGAACTCGGATCCTACTTCTGAAACCCCGGTTCCGCAGTTGCACCAGATCAGGGAAGATCGTGGCCCCTGGATCCGCCTCCCGGATGTGGAGCTCCCACCCAAGGTAAATCCAACAACAGATCTTAATAAAGCATTAAATAAACCAAAACATTATGTCAATTTCAGCTGTAAAAAACATAATTTTGTGAAAGTTAAGGTAAGAATAATGAACTTTTAAGATTTTTGGTGTTGCTATCAGATTCCCCAGAGAACTGCATCTATTGCCACTGCTCTTAACACCAACCTTACCTCTGGCATTAGGCACCCTGTCAGAGCCAGGTACTGAACACACCTTTGATTTTCAGTATTTTGTAAACTAGGTTGTTGTAAGCTGTGGAATGTAGCATTATTAACTTTAGATGATTTTACCTTCATACCAGCAATCCAGATTTGAGCCGCAATGATCGCTGGGAGAGAGGAGAAAGTATGAACCTCATATCCGGTCTGCCGCAGACTGGCTCTCTTGAGAGGCATCGAATCCTCAGTGAGTCACCTGCCTCTTCCCACTTTGTGGCCAGCAACTTCTGCAATATTTCATTTTTGTCCCCCCCCTTCTGACATGGAGTCCTTTGCAAAAGTATTCATACCCCTTGAACCTTTTAAATTTGTCACATTTTGACCACACTTTATTCGGAAATTAAGATTTTTTGTTTTTGTGAAAGAACAGTATAAAGAAGGGTATAAATTTGCAATCTAAGGAAAATTATTCATAGATTCGTTTTGTTTTACAAATTAAAATCCCAGAATGGGTTTACATTAAGTCCCTCTTACTATGATGCCCTCAATCAGAGTAAGCTGCCTTCAGATGTCACAGTATTTCATTCACTTTTATTTCATTTCTGTATAAATCCTACTGCTCTGTGGAGGCCTCAGATGTTTGTTAGATTTGTAAATAAATGGTGGCCTTATTAGCAAAACCTCAGGTCAGAGATCAAGTTTAAGTTTAATTATTACCCTAAGCTTTAAAGATATCACAGGATCTGCTTTAAAGTTAGAGTATAAAATTTTGTTTATTCTGATGTGTGATTTTGCCATATTGTAGAACGATGTGACTGATGTAGAAATCTGTAGCTCAGGTAGGAAAAGTAGATAAGAGAACAACTGATAGTCGTAAACTTCCCAACCCCTCCTTTATGAAAGAATTAGCCATACAAATCAACATGCTTTCTAAAGGCTCTTTAAAGAAACCTTCAAATCATCACAAAAAACAATTGATTGCATCTAGTCGTTGACTACAAGGTTAGTTTCTCATGCAGGAGGAAAAACTTCCTTTAAGAAGAAAGAAACCACCTGCAGAATCAGGCTCAGTGTGGGCAGACTTCTGCTGAATGAGGCTTCAGGGAGACTGAAGCAGACACTCACAGAAAAGGAACATAGAAGCACCAATCCATACATTCTTTAAAAAACAAATTAAAATTAAAAAATATGTGTTGCTCTGTATAGAGGAGAAACAGTCAACATCTGTTCTCATGACAAAAAGCATCAAAGAGAGCACAAACAGTTAGTCACGGTAAAAGGTGATCCTTGATACACTACAGAAAACGATCAAAATGTCTTAGGTGTATTTTACTTAAATTTGAGTAGGTTATTAATAAAATAATCTGCCAATAGCATGAGTATTTATTCCCTCTATAATATGATTAGGAATTAGATAATTGAAATGTAACTGAGTTATTTTTATTTTAAATGCCAGTCATCCTATCCCATTGGAAAGTTTCTTACCTGTTAATAATCAAAGGAAAAGGCACTTATTTAAAGAAAAATTACTTTCATTGAAATTTTTGTGGTGTGGTTTAAGTTGCTTCAGACAGATGAGACCAAAATGTTTTGACCAACAGAAAATAAAAAGCCATGTATGGTTAAAAACTTACTCTGGACATTAAACTGAACACACCATCCCCACTGGAGAAAACGAAGCAGCAGCATCATCCCCCATCCACAGAGAGGAGGTTAGAGTTGCTGGTTGAATTCCTGTTGTAACCAGTGAACTGGTTTTAAATGACGTATTCTGACGTGTTTGGATAAATGTTGCCAATGTCTAGAGCCTAATTCATATCAAGGTCCCAAGTATTTCATTCCTGTGCCTACTGAAGGACTTCTGTTTGGACAGTCAATCTAATGTGACTGAGATTAAGTTATTTGGGATTTTCTTCTAAAGCGTGCTAGTTTTAGTGTCTAGTTAAAGTGGATGGTTAATAATATTAGCTAGAGGACAGACTACCCATTCTTCCCAGAATGGTCAAAATGGTATTTGTAAAAAGACATTAAAACCATGTCTTTCTCCTTCCTCTTCCAAGTTGCCTACTTCTTTGTGCATATATCACATAAAATCGGAATTAGAATACAGTGAAGTTAAAGTGTGACAAAAAATGAAGCGGTTCAAGTTGCATAGATATTTTTTCAGGGCACCCTGACACTTCTTTATTCCATTGTCAGGTTCCTCCAAAATGGAGTCACCAATTTTCTCCCATGAAAGTCGTCATAAGCCTGGGGAATCCCGTACATCCTCTCGTCCTGGGCGACCTGCTGTACGTCTGTTTTACAATTTTTAACTGCATCATAATCAGTGTTTGTCAAATCCTTTACTTTTAGAACTGTTAGGACTAGAGCTGTAACCGTACACCAAAAATCACACTTTGCATTTTCCCTCTGGTTAAGTGCAGAACTGCTTGTTCCGCCGTATCTGTCTCACAATGTTGAAGAATCTTTTTTTTTTTAAAACACCTGTATCCAAATTATGATGTGGGTAATCACAAAAATGTAAATTA